GAATGAATGGATTACAACCCAGATTACTTTGCCATAGGCATGGCCGCTTTGTGGTTAGCGTCCTTTATATACTGGTTTTGTCTGTAATCGGAAAGTATGATGTGACCGAATACTTTTCGGGCGTTCATTACAATACGTCTTCGTTTGTAAATTGTAATGTGCATTATACGTAGACTGCCTACAATAAGCATTACAATTTTAAATTAGGTCAGCGGTGTTTTAATCATTTATTTGTACGAATTACGAAATGCATATTGTGGACGGACCCCATTTAACTGTGGGCCGCTGGAAAACGTATGCATCAGATCCGAATATTCGTAAATGCTTGACCGATGGTCTCTTACCGAACCATTTTTCATAAGGAGTGATGCCATCCAAAACTTCAGTCGCTGTTCGATTTCTTAAGTACACTGCAGTGTTTGTCGCTTCTGTCCATAAATACAGAGGCAGCTCCCTTGCACGCACCATGGCTTTCGCGCATTCAACCATTGTCCGATTTTGCCGTTCTATGAACCCATTCTGTTCTGGTGATCTAGGGGTACTTACTTCATGCTTGATATTATGTTGCAATAGAAAATTGCGCACATCATCGTTGCAAAACTCTAATCCTCCGTCTGAGCGTATTCTTTTTATTTTATGACCATCGGCTTGCACTTCAGCCACGAAGTTCATCAGCTTTTCAAGCACTTCAGTTTTACTTCTAATAAAATAAGCAAAGCAATATCTGGAGTGGCCATGCTTTAAAAGCATAAAATAGTTTGCAGCTTAGTGGATGGTGTACTCATTTTTCCGCACAGGGAGACCTTCCACCGCAGGTAATTTTGCCCTATTTTCGCCAGTATTCGGAAATAATTGACGATGTTTTTTGCCATAAGTGCAACCTTTACAAAATGGTATTTCGCCTGAGGTATCTGCAATTTTTAAGTCTGAAACGATGCTTTTGTTACTCACTCCTTGAAGTGTTTTAAAATTTACATGTCCCAAACGTTCGTGCCAACGTTTGTTGGCTCAGAACTAAGTACATTAACACTTGCGTAGTTAGCTGATACGCAATCCTCTCTCTTCATTGCCCTCGACAACAGCTTTATTTTGATTCATGAGGAACACTCGCCCCTGTGCCTTTCTAAAACTTGGCGTCCATCGATTTCGTCGCCTTTGATATTGAAATAAAATTATTGTCCAAATCAGGAACCAGCAAAACGTCGCTGATTGTGTCCGAAGTTTGAAATCCAACAGGAATGTTTACTTTCACGTTTGGCTCCTTTCGTAGAACTAATGCCTTCACGTTTGACTTGTTGGTCTTTTTGCTTTTTACAACATTCTGTTACCCAATGGCCATCTTTTTGAAAGTACATAGCTGCATTTGCCTTTACGTTTTGTGAAGGTATTGTTGCTTTTGATTGATTTTGCCACGTACGCTGATTTGTACACACCATTAATTAAATGTTCAGTCAATTTTCCAACCTTTTGCGCGTCTTTTGGAATGGCATACCAGTTAGTGCGAACATGATAAAGTTTTACGTCGACTCCGAACGGCGATTGTATTTTTAAGAGAAGCTGTTTTTCATGGTACTACACTACACTTGGAGGTTTGCCATTGTCTGCCGAGGGGCGACCGCTGGTAAGGAAAAACCTTTTTTATAAATTTTTTTTTGCGATGTTTCTTTGACCAGAGCTTGCTCCCAGGCCCTGCGGAGTGGAAGCACGCACTGTTTACCACTACACCACAGCGGCCGCCAATTGTATTGAATACAATTTGTTAATAAACAATCACCGTAGATGTTTAATGATTGTTGAAGAAATCGCTTTCTTAAGTTCTGTATACGTATAAATTGATATGGTAGCTCTGTTGTACTATAAGAATTTTCTTCTGTACATTTTATACATATTTTCTTTTTTCTCGCCTGTCCTACCTTCTGTTCCTTTTTGGCTCGGGTATGGACTTCCGGGTGTAAGATTAGCGATCAGAAAATTATTCTACTTATACTATTGTTAGTTCAATAGATATCAAAAATGAACTTCAAGATCCGCGTTTTTATTCATTCAACAATCGCAAAAGGTTATGGGACCAGTTTGCCACGGGCAAAACTTTGTACACTTTTGACATCGCGTATGGAGGAAATTTCCCAAAAAACGCGAACACGTTGAGCACCGATTCAGCAATTGTGGACGAAACCGTGGAGTTTTGTGAATCTATTGAAATTATAGAACTTGATACAACATTAAATATTGCTGAGCCTGAAGCAAAGGTAAGCATGTCAGAATCCAAGAAGTATCAGATTCACCTCTTCAATGGACAAAACTACCAGCTGTGGCGCCGCCAAATGAAAATTTATATGGCGGAAAACAAACTAGGAAATACATATTGGGCACTGAAACCAGAACTACGTCAAATGCGTTGGTATGGGATGAGAAAGATGCTGAGTTTCAGGCATTTTTAAGGAGGGGAATTGAGTTAGACCAATTGAAGTATTTGACCGACTGTGGAACGGCAGTGGAAATGTGGTTTAGACTTCAATATGTTCACTCTGAAAAAAGCGATCAATCAGCCCAAGCATTGTTGGAAAAGTTTATTAACTGCAAGATGGGAGAAGAGGAGAGCATGATCGATTACATCGCAACAGTAACGTCGCTTGCACAACGTTTAAGAGACATGCATCTTGAGCAGAAAGAGCCGATGATAATAGCAAAAATTTTAAGTAGTCTTCCAGCGAAATATGATTATGTTCGCACTAACTGGTTTGCCATTCCAAACGACGCACAAAAGGTTGAAAAATTTACTGAGCATTTAATTAATGAGGAGGCGCTCATCAATTTACGCGTAGGTGGCACGCAAATTGGTGTGCACAAATCAGCCTACGTGGCAAAATCAATCAAAAGCAACAATACCTTCACAAAGCGTAAAGGAAAATGGCTGAAGTGCAAACCGATGGTCATAAAATGAAAAGATTACGCTCAGGCGAAGGATTGGAGTTTTGCAACGATGATGTGCGCAAATTTCGATTGCAACATAGTATCAAGCATGAAGCAAGTACCCCTAGATCACCAGAACAGAATAGGTTCATAGAACGGCAAAATCGGACAGTGGTTGAATGCGTGAAAGCCATGCTGGATGAGAGAGAGCTGCCTCTGTATTTATGGGCAGAAGCGACAAACACTGCAGTGTACTTAAGAAATCGAACAGTGACTGAAGTTTTGGATAGCATCACTCCTTATGAAAAAGGGTTCGGTAAGAGACCATCGGTCAGCATTTACGAATATTCGGCTCTGATGCGTACGTTCCCCAGCAGCGCACAGTTAAATGTGGTCCGCCCACAATATGCTTTTCGTAATTCATACAAATAAATGATTAAAACACCGCTGACCTAATTTAAAATTTTAATGCTTATTGTAGGCAGTCTA